CGGATTTTGGAATGAAGACATGTAATATCAAAACACTACCCATACTGTGCCGTCCGTCAATGACGCCTCGACATTGCGTTTATTGAAGCAACAAGACGTCGTGTATTTGGTACCGGCATATCAAGACGTGGTAATTATTCGGGCCAAGCAACCACGGAAATGGCGACACGAGAAAATTCCACGCGCCTAACCGCACCAACCACTTCGTCGTCCCTCGTTGATAGGGCGCATGCAAGCTGCCGCGATAGATCACAAAATATGGAATTGCCCCCCTAGCAGGGCCAGAAGACGTGTCGCGCACGCCGTCGCCGCTACGAGTTTAGCACCCGACGTTGTGCTCCTCCGCCCATGTCCGGTTCAGCCCACAAACTGCCTGGGTGGCTGCGCTAGTAAGCACGCCGTCACTCGGCTGGCCCATTCATGTCTTGACTCTGCCAAACACGCTAAATGAACATCATCCGCTAGGCAAATACACCAAGTACCAATATCAAACTTATGACCTAAGGACAAGGTGGGTGATGCCAGGTGTCGATGTCGATGTTCATGGTAGATGTCTGAATCGTGGAGCTGTCAGGTCAACGGGCTGGTTAGTAGCCGGGATCCGCTCCTTTGGGTGCGCATATAATTTGGAATGTGTCTGGGGAATTCGGAAGCGGTGCTGTGCTAAACGTGAATCAAGGTACCTGATTACTATGCTGTGTTGAGACAATCAGCTACTCGTCGTTTATGCACATGGCCAAGGTAACTGAACATACGCTCGACGTGAGGGAATTGGTTGCTAGATGCTTCCCAGAGCTAAGTCTACTAGGATCAACGTCGTTGCAACCCTTGTACTTTGAATTTCGCAAGAATATTGCTCCAACATGCTGGGTCTCAAGATCTACACGTCTGAGCTAGACTGATCGGCCCCAGGTTACCGGTTTGCTCTCAGCTAATTACTGCATTGCACACAGTATGTCACCCTGAAGTTCATTCGATTTCGGAGACTTGGTGATTATTTGGCCTCGATACAGTTCGTCCCCCCATGGGAGTTCACGCCTGTTTACGCGCAAATTGTTTGTTCAAAGAATATCTGATTGCTCTGGATAGTTGATGAATATTAGGGTGTCTAATTATGTATGTCGCATGGGTATATGTAGGAGCAATGAGGCAGAGGCCGTTGATCGTGATGATGATAATGTACAGAATTTGGTACCCAATGTACCCACGTCGCGTTTCTTCTTCATCGTTTCATTCTCCATCCCTTTTTCGGGCCTGCCGATCGTCGCGCAAATGACAATAATGAACCAGCTAGCGAGTTGAACTTACTGATGAGGAGGGATTGCAGCTCATGTCGTAGTTATATAGTCGTCACTACTGAGTACAAGCGGTATCATTGTATCCAGCGATATTGGTTGTACATTTTGCTAGACGCATCATGATTTCAGTCCCAACACCTTTTACCGCGTTAAAGGTACGCATTTTCCAGAGATACAGTGGCGCTCCAATATAGCAGTAGGCGTCTTTCGGTTTCGTAACGACTGGGTGACTGCAATCGGCAGGGCGTACAATGGCCAACGGACACGGGTATTGGGGTCCAACCCAAAAGAAACCCGACAAAAGATGGCGGCTGTAATGGAATGGAATATCAGGTTTGATGGCAAAGGCCACCGGGGCAATGTAGCTTGTGCTGTCGAACCTTGGATTATCTGTAGGGCGCAGATATGACGGACCCCCTTTCCTCGTCCGTGATGTAGAATGACTTTGATACCATGATACCATTTGAGAAGATATCTTCTGTGCTACTGCGCGAGCTCTTGTTCCTCAGGCTTTGCTCGCTGTCATTATCCGAGTTGTCAACACGAGTGCTCTTCTTGGAGTTGGGCGGAGCGTTTGGGAACCACTGGGGCGATTTTGACTTGCTTCCGATTTGCACGATTTCATCCTCCGAGGTGCGGGTTTGAACAGTGGCAGAGAGTTTGTACAGGTCTGGTCGGAGCTTGTCAGTCTTGGACGCTGTACCAGAGGCGGCGGCGTTTGCTGGAAGCGGAGCTGACATGGCGTAGGCTGAGGGGCGATAGGCGGATGGGTTGCGCGTTGATAGGCCGAGCTTGGACATGGCAATGAAGAAGAGTGGGCGGAGCGTTGCGAGACTGCCGGCGGTGATGGCGAGACCTTGTTCGACAGAAGACCAAATGGCAATGTCAAGCGTGGACCCTGCAATGGTTAGTGAATGATGGCAACATGATGCATCGAGTGCTTACAGAGGAAGTCGGGTGAGTTGAAGAAGTGGACAAAGGGCAGGCGTGCGATGACAGCAGCGCTTGCGATACAACCCATGGTAATCAAAGGAATCAGTGCAATCTTTGCCCTCCTCTTCAACTGCAGATGCCAGACCAGGAATCCGGGGATGATGGCAAAAGTAAAGTCGGAGATGATGGAGAAGATGCTGTAAACGTAGCCGAGGGCGGTGATGACGGTATTGTCGATGCACTTTCCTTGTTGCGAAGTGCGATCCCACATGTACGAGATAGGGTAGCATTGGAAGAGGCAGACGAAGAAAAAGGTACCTCCGGCGACAACTGAGACGAGCATAGCGGTGTAGATGATCCTAACATGGTTAGTTGGGTGCCCGGTCAGGCCGCTCTCTTGTGGCAACTCACCAAGTGTGGAGTTTCCGGATACTGATGCGCAGTAAAAGGAAGCCAATAGACATTTTGGAGCAGATCATGGAGATGGAGTAGAACAGGTAACAGAAGTACCAGGCGTGTTTTGCATTCTGGACACCCTCGATGGGAAGGTCATGGTGGTGGCGGCCTGTTCCATGGCTGATGCCTATGCATGAGGACGTGGTATAGGCTACGAAGAAGAGCTGAGTGCCATGTGAGTACTTGAATTGGATGAATGTACTCGTTTGGCTAGTTTGCTACTTACGGTTGCAATAACCATGAGCCAGTCGTCGAGACCAAAGGCCTTGACCATTCGGACGCGGACAAAGCACCTTAGCAGGCAAGCCAAGACGGCCGTGGTGACAAAGGCAATGTTGACTGCGAGCAGCTCGGGGCCTCTATTGGGGACGGCCATGATGATTGTGATTTCGAGGCAGCGGATGCTCTAGCAGCAGCGAGCCCCAAAATCGGGAGGGTCATGGAGCTTGAGGGGATATGCATCTTTAACGTACTAGGAGGGTAGGTGGATTTGTTTTTGCCGAGGTGGAGCTATACTGCGTAGGAAGCAATGCATAACGCAAGCCGCCACGAGAGAGGTGGGTCACTGCACGCGGGCTGGCAATACTGGATCCAGGGTCTGGTCCGTTTCAGGGCGAGGCCATTACCAAGCTGGGTGTTTACCCGTGGAGCTAGGACGCTGGCCATTGATTTGCGCATGTCGAGTAATCATGCGTGCCAGGCCGAGCCAGGAGGGGTACGGGGAGAGGAGGCTATAGTGACAATGCTCTACATACGACATACTGTGTTGGTAAAGGGGACGGACTATCGCACTGTGCCTGGATGTAAGTCAGTACATACAGTCACAGTAAGATGATGGGAGGCCTGGACATGGTTGTGCTACATACTACTCACCGGCTCTGTGTCTATGGCGCATGTCAGTGGGCTCATTGTCGACTCGGTCGGCGAATACCTGAAACAACGCCCCTCGTCGTCATCGTCGTCGTCGAGGTGCAAGGCGACGCTTGAGCAGCTAGCTACCCTCGCACCGTTGTCTGTAGTCGTTGGCTGTGTGTGGGTGGCTAGTCGATGGACGAAGAGCGGCTCACACAAGGTTTCGCGGGAATGTGGGGCACGTGAACGCTAACCTTTTGTAGACTAACGCACGAAAATCCTGTCCTCTCCTGCGTCGCCTGCATGGCCCGCTTCTGCCGCGTCTTGGCCCTAGCCAGCCGGCATTCACCTGGCCCAACCCACTGCCATCCCACACAACCCCCGGAGCCATATCCCAAAGCTGCTTTCTCGATGCACAGTCATGCAGTTCCTCCTTACCCGCTGTCGTCTTCACTCCGACCAGTACCATGACTGCTCGCTCTCTGCATCCGGAAATGCTCGACACGCCCAGCCCACAGGAATGCGGCCACTAGCCATAGAGGGCGATTCGGCGGAGCCACGCAGGCCCACATCCATTCCCTTCTTCCACGTTGCAGTCGGTGCCGAGGGATGTTTTGTGCCTTATCAGTCCAGTCCACATACAGACTGGTAATGGATGGCTGGTGGCGCTGCAGAAGCAACGGCTGTAGGAGCACGCTACTGTGTACTTACATTCACTCCCTGACTCGTTGCCGCCGCCGCCGGCACTTGGTCTTGGCCCTGCCCACACTGGCAAGCAACTATCCCCATATTTGGACCATTTGTAACGCTACCCTCCTCTCCCGCGCCCAAGACCCGCCGCACGAACTGCCCTTCCCTCGCGTGTGAAACTTTGATTCTGTCAGCACCCAATCCCATCCGCTGATAATTGCCCGATGGCTTACCATTTGACTTTGAGCCAAACTCGTGTGTGGCATTTCGACCAGCTTGTCGGTACAGCGCTTCCCAGGATGAACCTATTCGCTTAACCATAGGCTGCGTGATGCAAACACTCGAATGTTTACTTATGGTGACATTCCACCTGGTCGGCCATGCCATCCCTGCATACAGGGGCTCATGGAGACTAATACCCATCTGTCTACACATGAGCCCAAGTACGTACCCGCGATACATGTCACCCCCTCGCATCTTTGTCACTCAGACATGTCCTTTCCGGTTTCCGGAACGTTTACTGACCTTTGCTCACAACCCTCTGGTCGCATTTGATCTTCTCCTTCATTGCGATCGCCAACAAAAACGTCTGACTAATCTTGTCCATCAGTCTCGGCTCGCAATCGAGGCTGACGATAGAGGCGAATCACCACGCTGGACTGCCGCGGATGTTTATCCAAGTTGAATACACACGTTCAAAAGTACCTCGTGGCCAGCGGCTGCGCCAAGTTCTCCACTAGTCGAGTGGCTCTTCTAACGGTTCCTGCAACAATGGCTTGCTGCTTGTGCTTGTGCGCCTCCTGCATAGAGCTGCATCATGGCGCGAAGATCACACAAGTGACCGAGTCTGGGCCCTCTTTGCTCGACCGCGCTGGTGACGACATTGCATACAAAATATATGTGCCGATTGTGTCCGCGCCCCCATCGTCAGACTTTGGTCCCTACCGCTGTTGGGCGCGGTTTGACATTAACCATCTCCCATCACGTCAGCGTTTCAGACGCAGGACACTGGGCTTCCCAGCCACTGCCGTCGGTGACGCTGCGAACAGGTGCACTCAAGTACATGCACCTCAAAGGATCAAGGTTTCGTACGACATGGGCTGACGCGATATCGAATACCGCGCTCAACAAATGCGTCTTCCCGCGCCAATACCCTCACCATCAAGGGCCCCCTATAACATGGGTAAGGGTAAAAACACTATACCTTACTAATTGGGGTTAGCGTTACCCCGCCGATGTCTGCTCTGTCTTCTGCACCGCACCTGGTGATGTATGCCGATGGGGAAGGTCACGAACCTGAGCACTTGATATACTCGCAGCAACCAAGCAAATTCAGTAAAACGCGCCGTTCTTGACTCCAAACCATGTATACCTAGACGAAAAGCGCTCGACAAACCGGATACGCGCTTGAGCCGAGTGATTGATCAAGTGTCGAGTGGCAAGGCTGCAAGCGGCAGACAGATCCCAGAGCAATAGAGAGCCGAGTAGGGTTTCGAATCCTCACTACAACCGATCTAACATTGGTCTGACACCTTCTTTACATCCCATGTCAGCGAGCCATTTCTGCCATCGAAAAAGCAACAGTTGCCTCACAATGAGACTTACCGTGTGGGGTCGTCTAGAATCCAGTTCCGGGGCATGACCATGTTCGTTCACAACAAGAACTTCGATTCGACGTCCAACAATCGAAGGGGAAGGATGGATAACTGGGAGACCCCCTTCTTGTTCGATTCGTTTGTTGCACTCCCACACTAAAGACGCCCGTTGTTTCTTTTTTCTTCTTTTTTCCCACCCATCTTGCTTTTCCCTTTTTTTATTCAACATACCAAGATACTTACTTGGTATTAGTTCAACTCTTTATGCATCTACATTCACACACTCACCCCACATCTGATCCCCGTACACACACCTGTGACAAACGAAACAGGGCATGGAAACATCCACATTGAATCTAGCCCCACAATTAGCTTATCCACACGTCATCATCAGCACTCGCATCGCATTCAAGCCATTTCCTTCTAGCTTCCGAGGAAAAGATTCATAGTCTGTATAGAGCATGATTGTGTGTAGCTATTATTCCCTGCAAACTAGAGAGATATCACTGCTTCGTGCATGACTTTACCGTGTTTGAAACTGTCGCGCATTCTTATTCTTCAATAAAAACGCGCAATCTTTGATCCCCATGTCTGAAAAGCGCATATCTTTTTACAACAACTCGACCCTTTCCCGGTCTAAGTATATTTGCCCAACAAGGAAACCAGCTAACCGCCAGGTCAATCGTGCATCATATGTCCGTCAATGAGACGTTGTTCACGACGTCTTTCCCCTTCTGCTCTTCCTCTTTCTTTTTCTCGTCCTTTATTCTCTTCTCTTCCCTCTCGCTATACCGATCTCCAAATAAATCAAAATGCGGCCGCATGACGAGTGTGTATTTGACAAACTCTTCCATACAGTCCACCAATCTATCTCGATTACCACTCGGCATTAGCCTACTTCCTCCGTCGTCTGGAGCATCCGCATCCGTGAATTGCTTGTAAGCCATGGGAATAGAGCTTTGGTTGGGTATCGTGAACATGCGCATCCAGCGGCCAAGGATACGTAGTGAGTTGACAGTATTGAAAGATTGTGAGCCGCCGTTGACTTGGGCAATGGCGAGGGTGCGGCCCTGCGTGGGTCGCACGGAGCCCGTGGACAATGGGATCCAGTCGATTTGATTTTTGAAGACGGCCGTCTATTGTCGCCAATCAGCCAGGCACCTACCTCCAGACCACTGAACACTGATGACTGATGAGAAAGGGGACAGATGATGTGTTACTTACAAGATTCCCATGCTGCTCGGGACTAACCCAAACATGTCCGTCACTCCACTTGCTCAGTTCCCGCAGTTCTTGTACTTTTTCATGCGAGTGTTGCACGTCGTCCTTGACGGGGAGCCCCGTGGGATTGAACACGCGCACGTCGCAGCCAAGTCGGAATAGGATACGGCTGGCTTCATAAGCGAGCAGTCGAGAATATGATCTATGCATCTGATCAGTCCTGCCGCAGAAGAAAAACAGATGAATATAGAGTATTTGTGTTGGAAAAGGTGGATTACCGTTCTCGCATACTGCCGTATAGCACGAGGACTTTGATCCTGTCCCCGCCATTCTTCATCACCTGTTCATCCACTACTTTCAACGCTGTGCTGAGCTCGAGCCTAGCGATCCAATCGTTATCTGCGTGTTGGGCATCCAGCAAAAAAGGTCGATATGCTTGACGAATCGAGGCATCATCTTCGTGCGCAGGTATTGCAAAAGACGAATGCCGGTACTGGGGATCTACTGCGATTTCTGCTCTCGTGCGTTCTGCCGCTGTATTGTTTAGATCGCTGTTCATGGCTGTGGTGATAGCTGAGCACGAGAATTGCTGTGCGCGCCTTGTTGAAAGCCGGACAGCTGCTTTGCGGCAAAAGATTGTACGTGTAAGCGGCCGGGAGAGAAACATCAATGAGCTCAGCAGCTAGCGGAAACAATATTTTTTTTCTCGGAATGGTAGTTGCGCAATATGTTGACCGGGGTTGCTATTCCCCAGATATGTATGGTTTGTTAGTAAGTAAGTGATATGTATCTGCCAAGACTTGATATGTCATTCATTGATCGCTATTGGTCAATCCGTATTACGAGCGGTGCGGCTCTAGGCTTCTGAATTTGCAAGCAAACTTTACTTGTACTGATCAGCACGCACTAAACGAACGTTTGGCCACCAACATCTATTCAAGATGTATTTTTCTAGAATAACTCAATGGCCTGTACAGAGGGAGGCCGATGCTTCCCTTGACCGTGTCGTCCAGTATTGTTGAATCCTTGGGAGGAAAATAGTGAGATGGATCGCATTGCTACAAACCTCGGAGTCGTTGCGACGCAAATCAAGAGGTACATTCTTCCCTTTAGATGATCCTACAGCTGGTTTGACCATGTTGAGAACTTCACTTCTGCAGACAGCCGCAGGGATAGTCTTGAACGCTGGACAAGCAATGTGCCAAGGCAGTGTGGTGCTTGCAGTAGTCATTGTTTGAGAACATGCGGTGAATTTGGGAGAAGAATGAAAACGATGACTTGAGCGAGATCTGCTCGGCATCGGTGGAGGCCATGTGAGCAGTGACAACTTCATGTGCTTACACTAGGTTTGTTTCAGCTGTTCACTCCTGTACACAAGTCGGTGGTCAAGTCGCAATGAAGGCTATGCGCAACTTTTGGTGCTATGGTCATGGAGCTACAATACTCAATGTGAATCGTTGAGGCACGCAAACCTAGTAAAATCTCAACGCTGCATCACCTGTTTTACACTGCACTCTCTCAATCTAGGTCATTCTCAATCTTCTTTATCGATTAAATCGTCGCTTTATTCTCGACGATGCGTACGTGGCATCCTTACGCTGTAGCTTTTATCCATGCAGGGTAACCCGAACTTTCTCTCCTGTTAACAATCGACGGGAGCAAATGGTAGATTGGATTGATCAGTATCAAAATAGGCGAGAGACGGAGCCATGATATACTGTACTTATTTGAAATGTGCTTTTTATGGCGTTGACGTCGAAAATCATTGTAAGATGCGGGTGATGCATAAGGCACACGCAGTATTGGTAGCATCCCTTATCGAAGCGCGTATGTTAATCGGATGTGTTTATCTGTGAAACGAATGATTAGCACATGGGTGCGGAGGTGCGTCTAACTAACAACTGATGCTACAGCAACTTCAAAGAAAACCATGTTCTATACAAGGCAGAAAGGTCGCCAGCCATCTGAACAACGATGGGTGAGTTAAGAACCAGAGTTATCAAAAATGGGCAATCAGGACATGTCTTGTTCAACAAGACCATGGCTGGGACCCATAATACCTCTATCCCAACGATCGCCACCCTAATATTCTTTGTCCAAGCTTATCCCATGTCTCGTACATCATAGAAGAACTTTATCCATCTGCAAATCAAAGGGTTTCTCAGGTCTGCTAAACAGCGAACAAAGAGAGGACAAAGAGCGCAGGGTTGATCAACGTTGTTGGAAAACAATTTCTTATGGAATGAGCAGCAGGAAAGGACGGCTGGATAATGCTGAACAAGTGACTCGAGGGCTAGTAGAGGGACAGAGTTGCATTAGGCGAAGATGACAGAAGGCAAATAGTGGAGGCTCGGTATGCGAATTACGTAGGTGAGCAACTGGGCACACTATGTAGCGCATCTTCGCTTTTATTCTGCAATAGCGGTAGTACCTGTCAATATTTATCTAAAGACTGCATGCAATTGTAGAGAAGGCGATATCTAGCTTACTCTCTTCTACTGGAGGTGAATCCTACGAAAGTGCGACAACCAAACTCACGACACAACACTGGTCGGACAAAGGTGTGCATGGATATTGCCACAGACAGAGTCGGATACGTATGATTTCGTCGCTCAACTCTTATGATTTTGCATCAGCCTGTCTACAATACTGATGCCCATCTGTTCCTCAGCAGAAAGCTGGGGTATGGGCCTCTGCTCAGACGCGAAGCCATTTCTTTGCATGATGTTCTCCATCATGCGCATACCCCGCAGTTCCTGTAGTGGCGGGATGCTCTGAAGGCTGTCTGGATCTATAGTGTCGAAGTTGAGGCTCCCTGTAGGCTTGACGGCTCCATTGACTGAAAAAATGGCATGGGGCGTGATGACAAAATCACATTGGACTTCTCCTGACCTGGTGGGTTTGATTGTCTCCATGCTGATTCGAGCCTCGTCTATAACTTGGGAGGCATGGACAATGGCAACGACAGGGGCCTGGTGGCGTAGTACGCCCAGGTCTTGCAGCATCGCCCACTGCACTTCGAACAGATTCTGCCCACCCCAGATGCTGACGCCCTGAACGTTGAAGATGAGACCGCCTATGACGCACATGTCGATCATAAGACCCTCATCGCGCATCTGGGCGAGCGTGACGGGCCGTCCGGCACCAGCCTTTTCCATTCCATCCAGGCAAGCGGCTAGGTCGTATCTGCTCGCATCGATACGCCCCGGGTCCAAAACGAGGAAACCCCTGCGCAAGCGATGAGTAGCCACAATGAGCCTTTTCCCATCCTTGAGGGCGCGGGCGCGCAAGCATTCTAGGCTATTGTCGGGCATGGCAAGGATGACCTGGGCAGAGTGGTAGCAGGGCAGGGCAGCCAGGCGCTCGACGGCGGCAGCAGAGCCTCTGAAGTCGGGCGTGAAGGCCATGAAGTCATAGTTGAAGCGCGCATCAGGTACGGCATCCTGGATCAGCTCCTGGTAGACGCGCGACCAAATCAGCCTGGTGCGCTCGTCGGAGGATGCGCCGACTGCCATTGGAGAGGCCATGGCTAAGCGGAGGGCGGGTGGCTGGACAGCGCGCAAAGTCTATTTGCTCGGTTCTATATGTACGTAAGTATGTAAGTATGTAAGTACGACCCGGGCTTCTTATTCTTATTTCTATCTTGATGAGGGGAAATGAACAGGCCAGATGGGCGAGGCCTGGCTTAAGACGTCGACGGCGACGACGACGACGACGGCACCGGATGACTAACCCTTCCGTACCCCATCTGCCCATGATCTCCAACTTCACACAGCCAAGTGGCATCGATTTGGCGATGCTCGGTGCAAGTCTAGGACCATCGGCTGCTGCCATGGCTCGCTACACATTCCTCAGGCAGACTTTTTTGCTTCATTGCCGGGCTATTCCGGACAACCGCTTGCCGAGAATAGTAACCCGCCTACACCGGCTACATGGTATGTTGCCGAACACTCACATATCTATCTGCACAGGCACGCCAACCCATGCTCGGTGAATTGGCATCATCGATCTACCATGAATGAGATCCCTAGCCAGGCCCCAGCGGCCTTTTTGACAACCGACCGCGCCGGGCGGATCGACGGGGCGACGACGACGAATACTAGCAGCTCCCTCCACACTCCCACTATTCATCATCCAATCCCGGATAAAGCCAGCCCCGAACAGCACTCGCACAAAACCGACGAATCCCAAGCCACCAAGAACAAGCTCACAAACGCCGCAAAGACGCTCCAAGTGCTGAAATGGTTCATCAAAGACCAGTGGTTCCTCCTCGCCATGGGCGCCGTCGTCCTGGTGTCGTCCCAAGTCCAAGTGCCTGCTTCACAACAGCGGATCAAGCGCACAGTAATCACCTACTTGGCCGTCTCCGTCATCTTCTTTATCAATGGCTGTACCCTCGACACCCGCGTCATGCTCGCCAACTACATGCGTTGGAAGCTGCACATCTTCGTCCAACTCCAGTGCTACCTCGTCTGCTCCGCTGCCACCTTTGCCATTGTCAGTTTGTGCGCGACCAATCCCCATTTCATGGACCCATGGCTCCTCATCGGCTTCTTGTTCGTGGGCAGCGCACCGACTACCATGTCTAGCAACGTCGTCATGACGCGCCAAGCCCATGGCAACGCCGCCCTGACCGTCGTCCAATCTGTAATCGGCCAGTTTCTCTGCCCCTTTCTGACTCCAATCATACTCCAAATGTACCTCTCCACCGGGTCGTGGTACAGCAAAGTGCTGCAGCGCGGATCCGGTTACGCGGACATCTACCAGCGTGTCTTTATGCAACTTGGTCTTTCGCTTTTCCTGCCCATGCTCCTCGGTCAGATTGTCCAGCGCCTATTTCCCAAGACGACTAAAAAGGTCTTTTTCGACTGGAAATTGCTCAAGCTGTCTTCGATTGCCCTGCTGACCATGGTATGGCAGACGTTCGATCAAGCCTTTTCATCGGGTGCCTTCGAGGCTGTCAAACCCTCCAATATCATTTTCATCGTCTTCATCACCATTGCACTGTACATGATCTGGTTGGCCATTTGCTTCACAGCTGCTTCGCTCTGGCTACCGAAAAAAGATGTCATTGCTTGTTGCTATTGCTGCCCCGCTAAAGCACTGGCAATGGTCGTCCCGCTTACATCAGTCATGTACATCAATATTGATCCTGTCAATCAGTCCAAGATGCAGATTCCAGCAATCATCTTTCAGGCCTTCCAGGTTGCCATTGGAGGTATCATGACCATCGGCTTTCGCAAGTGGATAAGGCCAGAAGAAGAGAGGGAAGAAGCGGAAAAGCTGGTTGAGGCAGGGGCCAGAAATTAAGTCAATGCCTTTCGCTAATTATGCCTTTCCACCTTGCTTCCTTGTATACCATCATCTGCATCGACTTCGCACCTGCTTTTCTTCTCTACCATGTTCATTGTCTTACAGATAAGTCTGCACAACTCGCTACTCATCCCTTACTCTATCGCCTTGCTTTTCCCCCCGCTTCGATTCAAGGCCCACGGTACTCTATTCATCTTCGGCCCACCTACTCGTTGTATACAACCCCGCTGCCATGTTCCATCTTGTTGCAGCCATCTTCCTCATTCTCAGGCAAGGCAACAGCATCCATTAGGGATCTATCCAAACCATTAGAATTTCCTATACAGAAAGCAATTATGTTGTTTGGAAGGATCACTTACGCATCTGCACACCCCTGTGAGGCCTTCGCAAGGACACTTCACGCACACTACCTTCGCCTCCGTGCCGTCCTTGTTACGCTGTTCCTCAAAAGAGTGCTCGATGCTAACCTGTTTCGAGTCGCCGAGTTGGAGCGGTGTTATTCCTGGAAGAAGAGGTGATGTTTATACGTACGGCAGTAGGTGATGCCAGCGCCATTGACGCAGCGATTGCCGTGATAACGGGAGAGACTTTCATCCTTGCTTAGATGCATTCGGGAGAGATGAAGCTGAGGCAATTACTTGTCCAACAACACAAAGAGGTCTATTGCAGATTAGATACTTGAAGATATGAGGTAGTGGAGTGTGGTTGCAAAACGTTGGGTAGCATACAAACGCAGGGGGGTTAGCCTTAACTAGGCGCCCAGAGATCGACTCGTTCAAGGAATCCCAATCCGTTTTCAATGGCCAGCAGTCATCTGTAGGTGGCTGCAAGGTTTCAGCAGGGGAGCAAAAGCTTTTGGGTGATCAAACGTACACATTTGCAGGTAATAGCTGCAGCGACACTCAGCACACTGGCAAATAACGACACAGATTGTACAAGATGAATTATCCAAGTAGAACGTGCGCCTTTGATAATGTGTGGTACGAGTAATAGGCTGGAAATGGATATGTAGTGAGATCTTGTGTGGCACGATCGGTTTTTACAATCAGAAATTATGGCGCAGGGTTGTCTGATTCTCATTGTTTAGCTTCAAGGGCGATAGATAGTAGGCATGTCGATTTTGTTCTACTTTTCCATATACTACAGGTTTTCGTATTCCATACATTGTTTGTATTCCGCGAATTCTCGCCATAATTACTACAGGCCCTGAAAATGTTATCGGATCGACAAAGTTTCTGTACCTCATCAAACCTATGTACGAACCAAGGTCATGATCCAAATGACACATTAAATCTCTCACTAGTTTTCGGGAGTATTGTTGGACCAGAAACCTAATATAGTTCAAAAGTCCCTCCTCTTGAACAACCTCATGAGGTTATAGCATGGATCAAAGCGAAGAGATGTTCTAAGGATCGGGGATCCAGATTTTGTACGAGCCTAGTTTCCAAGTTGTGCAGAGTATATGTATATCTTAAGGCATAATCCTCCCTACTATTTTGAATACAATAAAGTTCCAACACATCAAAGTGATGCTTGTACATCATATGTGATGGTTGGAATGAGGCCGAAATAATTGAAATAGGTTACCTTGATGCGGCGCTTTTTGTAGTTCTTGCAGCCAGCACGTGATCTGCGATGCGATCGTCTTGTTATCTTCTCCACGGTACGACCATCTTGTTCCTAGCGGGCGGCGTTGCCGTGTTAGAATGCGCCAACGGTAGTGGGGATTCTTGTTGCATGACTAAGCGTCTGGCTTGAGGAGAGTGAATGTGAGCGGACAAGGACATATTCAGAGCTAGGAAAGAGCGAATACGAAACACGCGGCTACCCTCAACGCTAGCACACGACCCACCAACTTCGCCACTTCTGGTGCATGAATTCTCCGACACTTGGTAAGCGCTACCTGAAATAGTAACTATTCCTGCGTTCATGACTCGCCCCGCGTATTCAGCGCGTATTCTCTCTTTCAGGCGTATTCGACCACAGAGTCTGGTTCAGTGAGGTAATCCTGCATACTTAGAATTGAAGCAGAGAAAAGAACAAGAGCATTGACAATTCGTGATCCCAATCTGTGTCGGTTACAGATATAAAATCTGAATTTCTTCTGCCTTCGTTCACGACGCCTAACAACCATTTCCAATATACACAGCACGTCAAGCATCAATGGGCTTATCGAGACAAGTCGACGCGCCAACCGTCTCTTCAACCGATATGTCATCCTCCTCGACCTCAACCAAAACCATGCCTGTCGATGCGCCGCCGCCTATGCCGCCGCCACCATACTTCAAGACGGACTTCATCAACCCTAGCTCCTTCAAAGCTGCCGTCGATAGCAAACTGGACAAGCCTTCAGTTTCGCTATTCCGCTTAAGCATACGATTGTTCCAGCTCATTTTCGCACTTGCCTCTGGCACATCCTATGCCATCGAGCTCTCAAACGGCAACGGACGCGGAGATGCATCAGGAAGCTTCGTTTTCTCCCAAGTCACATTCAGTGCAACAATCATCGCCCTTGTCATCAATGGCACAACTGTGCGATACTACCGATTCTCATGGATAGTGGACTGGGTACTGACGGTCTTCTGGCTTGCCCTTTTCGCCACCTTTTACAAGGTATATCTGGGGGGCGCAATGGAGCCAGCATTTGAACCAGTTAACATAGGACGTATGGAGCGAGCGGTCTGGTGCGATCTCGTCAATGCGCTGCTATGGTTTGGAAGTGCCGTGTTCTCGTCAGCAATGTGCTATTCAGGCATCAAGGGTTCTATTCAGGCGAAACTCAGACAAAGACAACAAAGAAAAGAGACCAAGAAGTCAATGGAGACAATGAGTGCGATGGAAACGGGGATAATCTGAGGGTGATGATAATGACTAATCAATGTCTTTAGTTGCTAGCATGTAGCGGAACTCCATTTCCTTCCCAACTAGACAGATGCAAGCGGGCATTACCATCCTTAGGGAGACCTTGAATTGAATTGGCCAACTAAAACCGACCGCGGATGCTTCCTTGATGCAATGCAGATTGGTGCTGTGATTTCATGGTCAATATGCGTACAATCACAGACGATAACTAAGATTTTGCCACTACAATCGTAGCTTCCGGGGCGTCGATTCTTGTCCAGCAGATGAATTTTGTGGTATACATCGTGCGTGGGAACATTCATCATCTGCACTGCATGCGTGACTAAAGGTTTCCATTTTCCACAATCTCTTCGAATGACGCCATGGTCGATGATGAAGCGGAAGATTTCGATTGTTTTAGAGCTGTCAAACCTACGTTTGTTAGGAGCTTTCGCAAACTCTTATCAAGATGGACTAATGTGTGAGCGAGACAGCAATCCGCATGCAAAAGGGTACGTGAGTAATGGAGGATCAATGAGAACAAGCGCCGCAGTTATCGTGAAAGTGCTATCTAGTTCAGATGTAACATTAGCATGTGGCGCATTTTTGATTACATAGTGGGGAGTGTACCGCCGCCTTCAACACATCATGCATGTCAGGAGACACGCCTGACACGAATGGGTTCATACTATTGATAGCGATTCCGACCTGAAACATATTGTAACGTAAATAGAGGGCTGGCAAACTATAGCTACACGGCAGCATTTCACCTGAATCTATAAAAGCATTGCTTGATCATCGCCAATAGTATAGTAGTTACTCGTGTTGATTAGGTCACACGCAAACTCATAAATTCGTAATGCCATCCTCATCCTCCTTCACAAGAGGTAGAGATATCGCCCTGCGACCATTGTTGAGCGCGTTCTGTCTGTAATTTGCACGGGCGGCCTGTTTGGCTGTATCAAAATTCTCCGAAGCTGTGAGGAATACGTCACGAATCTCTGCTTCGGCTTCCTCTTTTCCTTCTGCTACACGCTGTTCAAAGTCGTCCACCTGCTGGCTGCAGTACTCATTGAAACCGAACTTTTGGTCTTCGCTGATCATAGCCAAGTCAGACCTCGCGTTAGCAACGATTTCCTCTATCTCAATGCTGGCGGAGTTATATAGCTCAGAGGCATGCTCTGAGGCATGCTCAAAGGCTCGGTCGATATCTTGGGCGAAGGTCTGGGTAAGAGCACTTGTAATGGTTCTTTCCATCTCTGTGATAGGCGTCAAACGGCGGTTTGGTGTCCGATCGTAGCGTGTAGGCGCGTTTGAAATTCGGGTGTACGGTGGTGTTGGTGACGAGCGTGATGAAGATGAGTGGCCTGTACGCATGCCACCAAAGAAGTCGGCCAACAAGCCTGGAAGCGCCTTCTTCACCTCAGATGCGACAGCCTCTTGGAAAAGATTGACTGGAACCGTAGATGTGGAGCTAACCTGTGATGTGGGGGTGGAGCAATCTAACAAAGGCGAATCGGGAGGATGTCGGGAGCGCTTCGTTGCAGGAGTATCGGGTACAGGGCTGAGGCCATCTAGACAATGGACGTTAGCAAGAGGCAGTGCAGTATTCGACTACAACCCTACCCTTACTGTCTCTAGAGCGCTTAACCGAGCCTGGCTCTTGCTGATATGGAGGTGGGTCTTGGGTTGTCATGTCTTGGGCAATATGTTCTCCAGCTCTCGCACCATCAATGGGAGTATCAGCTCCAGGACTAACATCCTGAAGCAAACTGAGGATTGACCACTCGACTTGCCGATACAAATTGGTGAAGTTTGGGAGAATCGGCACCCTAGCGAACTCCTTGGAACCATTGAAAATGCACTGAAACCTTGAGTAATTGGTACCAAGCCAGTTGGTGTCGAAGACGATGCGTATTTGTCTTGCTCGCGCTAGTTTTAAAAGTTTTGGAAAATCAGGGCAAACGCTGGGAGCTTCTTTTCGATGCCATACAGAACAAGGTTGTTTTAGAGTTAGTGACAGTGTTCGGGTCTGATGACTTCCGTTCCGCCCTAGATCAGTGAGCAATGTAGCCGGGAGAGAAATGTCAAGCTTCGTGAGCGATATTGTGCCAGGCACCAGATTATCACCTTCATAGCGCAAAAAAACACGTTGCTTGTCATCAATACCAGGGCGCGGCAAAGGGTATTCGAGATACAAGCCAAGCTGCGTGTCAGTGTGCGATTTCACAATCCTAAGTAGACACAACCATGGTACAGATGCATCATCAGCAGTATACGCTAGGGCGGAAACGCCTTCCTTGCTGAGAAGATTGTGTAGTACCATTTCGCGTTGGACTTTTCTAAAGGATGTGTTTACTTACAATGTACCCCTTTGCAACAAAGCATGCAAAATGCAGCAAAGGAAACCCACCCGCCCGGGCTTTCGCGTTGATGGCAAAGAGCAGCCCTGACTCTGTCGCAGCAGCAAGCGCCAGATCGTAGATGGCTAAAGACCAGCCTTGTTCACACAGCCTGAGCCTTGCTTTGGTAACGCCCCTCTGATGCGCGAATCAGAACACAAAGATTGTGAAGCTGATGCGCTGCGTCAGAGGCCTTGCAGTAAGGATAGCGCACGGAGACAAGACGCCAGGCAGGCGAAAAGGTAGGGTTAGCACCTAACGATGAAAAGCTTGCTTTCGCGAAGGAGGCGGAGTTTGAAAGCCTGAGAGGATGATAGTCGAGGTTGAGGTCGGTGGAGGTGGAGATGGAGGAGGTTGGGGATTCGCGCTAAGATGCGACGCGGTTCTCGGTGCCTGGAAAGCTTGGCACTGTCTTAGTACCAAAGTGGACTAGCGTCATGGGATCAGGCCTGGTGGCCAAGCACGCGAGACACTGCATACTTACTCACATAACTACGCACTATATACACACACAGCAAGTCCAACGTGGAAGACAGCTCTTACAGCTCCTAATACCGCCCTCTGCACCCGATACATGCTCACCACCCCAGAGTTTAGAGTGACAGATTCAATTGTCCATCAACCCTTGGGCCTCAGGGACGAAAGTAGGTAGCGGTAGCTGAACGGCGGCCATGGGTTGGGGCGTTGGTTATGTAGCGCACAGAGCCAGGGCCACTCGCACATCTCCGAACAAGACTGGCGAGGATGGCTACCTTTTTAACCAGTATATCTTCATACGCTTCCTGTCGAAAATGCAATCGCTCTGTTATTCCCTCTCTAAGCTGTTCTCAGGCGTGGCCCTCTCGCTGAGATGCTCAACACAATGCTGTCCATAGTAAAGGCAGTCAGTCTCAGATGCGGCTACATCCACAGCAATGACCAAGATCTGGACATTGTTCTCATGGCAACCGCATCAGATGCTGCAGAGAAGCACGAGTTGGGCGACTGCTATCTGGCTTTGACATGGTCCTGTTGCGGGGCGCCAATGCTGTTTTGTGACCAGTGCGACGAATGTCCAGCATGATAGCCTTTCTTGTTTTAACACCATCTTTCATAATAAGCGCTAGCCTCCAGAATGCAATACATGCTGCATTCCTTCTCTCCCTTTCCACTGACTCTTCTCTGTCACCCGCACTACCAAAATTCACTATGACACGACGTCGGCCCCGTCATTCCCATGCCTCCGGCGAGCCCTTGCTGGACCCAGGCGTCGCGCAAGGCATACCGAAGTGGACGAGTCGGCCATCCCGGACATCATAGAGAAACCTGATGTCGGTCCCATCAGACGCAAAACCTATACCCGTCTCAAGCGGGAGCTATATAAGAACACGACCGATGACACTCAATTTGTCAACGCACACAGCGTAGGCGTGCATGAAGAACCACCGGTACCATTCACTCCACTACCAACCCCCCACGGCTCTCAATCACTCGGTAATGCTCACCGCCAGGCCGCGGCTTTAGCACAAGCCGTGCATATATGGTCAGATGCGCGTCACCAGGCCTAAGCACATCGCCCAGGCCTAGGTTTGTCGCAATATCTTCTTTCCTTATCCACTCGAGACGCTGGTTTTAATCATAAAGACGAGTTAGAGGACAACGGTTAGACACACATCCCTCAACCTGTATGTACCGGGCGGCAAAATCCTCGCTCAGCGACTCCTCCAATCGCCACTGGAACCGTCCAGCAATTATCTCGCCGTATTTCTAGCCGCCAACGTCATCAACGGGTTAGCAAGCAAGTTTCCCCCTCCGACCTACACGCTGAACTCCACATATTTGGCAACGTTCTAGTCGGTGCGGTAGATGACGCTTTCCTCACTCATTTTGGGTATTTTGCGCTGAAGTTCGTCCGGTTCCTCCAGGTGGAGGTGCATCGAACCTACGCTGCACTGGCTGCCAAAGCCGATGTTCAACATGTGCATCTGGAGCAAGACTTTGACTATATCATGCGACGAATTTGGGATCTGGGAGACGTCAACACGCAGCATCATGGCAAAGTGTTGGAGCTTGTGGTGCAAGCAAGTGATAGACTGCCTACCAGCGCTGCCAAGGACCACCAGAAGCTCATGGTCTCCGTCGCGCAGAGCCACGATGGTATGCGTCAATCTGTACGCCAACATCACGATCGGACGCGGGTGCTGGCAACATCGAACCATTTCGCTATTATTCAAGCCATCAGTCAAGCGTGTGAACGGCTTGACATGATGGCTAGCAACATAGGTACCTTGACAGGGACGAGCAACCACCAGATCCGCAAGCTGAATACTATGGACGGCAGCATGGAGGCATTAAAGAGTCAAATGCGCATCATCGGAGGCAAAGCAATCACCTAGCAACGGGAGCAGCTGAAGCACAGCAAAACGCTAGGGCGCATGGTCGTTGTCGGCTTGACCCAAGTGCTCAAGAGCCAGCAGCAGGGTCACGCCGCAACTGGAGCACAGCTTGCCCATTCCCATGAGTTTTCCAGACCTACTCTGACCTCTTTCGCTTCGCGTTACAAGGAAGCCGGCGCTGACTGCAGCAAATGCCGTCAATCCGGCGACGAAGCTGCGCTCGCCCTCAACATTGCTGCAATGAGCTTACAGGTGGCCGAAACTCTCATCAAAACCATACAGGGCTCCCACAACGCCCAGAAGATTCTCTGGGAGAAGTTTGTTGAGACCCAGCAGTGCACCCATCAACTCACCGTTCAACTCAACGCCGCCCTCTCAAAAAAACAATAAGCAAACCGATCGTATACACGACCAAGCCTTGCCTCGGGTACAGCGATCTCTCGAACTGACGGTCATAACCCGTGATGGCCTCGAGACCGCCTTGTCTATAGAGCAAGACGATCACGCTGCTACAGTTCCGCACCTCACTACTATTGCATCATAACATGAGCCTGCTTTTTGCAAAGAGTTTGGGGAATACAAAGCCATAATTGAAGAGCTGCGCAATGTCACAAATAAGCTGAACGCTTCACTTGATTTAATCGCTGCAAACGATGGTACTACCGAAGCCGTCTTTGATGTTGGTCGCGAAATCTACACCCATCAAATTGACGACCTGCAGACCCAAGTTGATACCACACAAGACCGTATCGAGATGCTCAAACAAGCAGCTGTTTGATTTGATGTATAGTGAAATGCAAAATAGGCCGTATATTCGAGATTCCCTTTGTTCTTCTATCAATGCGCTATCTGACCATTTGATAGACCACCCACCAGTGAGCCCAGATTGTTGCCAATAATCTTCTGAAATTGTAGCTGGATCTGTTTTTCAAGCATGTTCACATTCTCAAGCAAAAACCCCACATAATCCCAGACGGTATCCAACAACACTCCCTCCCCAGGATTTCCGTTTCGCTTATAGATCTTACCATCCGACTTGACAAATAGAAGTGGAAGATGATTCTCTGGATGCGATGAGACAAGCTCTAGAATTGGAGCCAGTTTCCACGCGCCGAATTGTGATTCATCAATGACTTTGCGGAGCTTGTATGCATCATGTACCTCTTGGACTGATACTTTGATAGCTTCGGTGCAGATGCGAAGATTATTGCTGTTTGCTGGGTCAAAGAGCTTGGTATCCCCATAGATCTTCCATTTCTCTCCAGCCGGGTTTTGGACATTTAGTCCCAGATTGCCATCCTCATCATGCATGATCTGCCATGGCAATGTTAGAAGTAGCCGAAGTTTGAAAACAAAGTACTGACATTTGATGCAATCGCCTTCAAAAAACTGATTGAAAAGTCGACCTTGACGTCGAGGGAGTAGAGAGCATTTCGCGGGACTCGAACATGGCCAGCTGCAAATGAGTCCTGCAGGAAGTGGTCTGCAAAGGCGTTAATAGCATATGCCTTTTGAAGGTCACCTTGTGCAGCTACTTGAAGAGCTAGGGCGTGACCAGCATTGTAAGTCAAACGAGCTTCAGGTCCAAAGTGGTCGATGTTGTGGAGCGCAAGGGTATCAAAATCAGCCCCGGCCTTATAGGCGACTGTGACCTGTTTGAGTGCGTCAATGTCCAGGGGGTGGTCTTGGTAAGCTTTGTGAACTGCCTTTGGGTCATGTTCGATGGCGTCGTCCACTGCAGCCATAAGAACCTTCAGTTTTGCAATCACGGCTTCTGCCCTTTGTTTGCCAACCTCCCCTACATTCAATAGATCGAAGCTCTGCTGGAAACGATCAATGCGGTCTTTTAGTGTAGCGCCCCTGGAGATGGGAGTCATCAATCCAAAATAGTCTCCAGAAAGCGCATTGATATCTCCGTATGTGACCACAAGCCCATTCTGCAAAGTAAAGGGATTGTTGGCCGCTGCATGGTCTCCAGCGCTGTCGTGATCAGGTAGTTGAATTGTGTTGCCGAGGTAGCGGTGTTCAGAGAAGTAGAACATGGGTGCAACCTCTTCGTCCTCATGTTGCTCAAAGAGCAAAGAGTTTTGAATCTCTGGATCTTGAACATACACCGGCATGTCCTTGTCAAGAAGTACATTTACAAATGCCCTAAGTTCCTCGGGGCTGGGGTTGTGACGCGGCTTGAAGTGTTCTGTGGCCATATTTGGGTACTTATTTGACTCAGTGATGCGCCAGAAATGTACATAGGAACAGCTTACATCTCAGATATGCCAGCAAGAAAGTGATCACTTGTGGTGTCTTTGGTTGTAGTGTATAGATGAAGACTGATGGTTTGCCAACCGATTTCAAGATAATCTGGCGTTTTATAATCACCGGACGAAACTATAGGATTTGACGACTAGCTATATTGAGAAATGCCCACTTCATAACCTGGACTTTGAGCAGCAGTGTGTTGAGCAGCAACTAATCAGCCAATGATAACCTCCCGCTCACTGGGCGATAGCAATGTTTCGCTAGTGCTCTGAAGGCAGGAATGAGAGCTGAAAGGTAAGAGTTGCGACATGCATGGGAGGATTCACCTCAATAGCGTGTGTGGCGCTGTAACAAGTGTCGCTTAGAGTTGATTTAGAAAGTATAGACAGGAGCCGAACCTTACGGTATGACAGCTCACATAGTATCCGACAAATTCCTCTCTCCGCTAAGACGATCCCTACAGGGTGGATGAACTGTCACAGCTGAGAAAACGCCATCACTACTCTCCATCACGTTTAGCTAGAATGATCGGCCCGAACCTCACAGTCTGGCACCAATGAGCTTATCGCCTCAGCGGAGAAATTGACTCCGCTTAGAGGCTGGCTGCCTCCATCACGATGATCATCACATTATGCCTGCCTGACAGTCGCTTGGTTTCTCACTATCGGGTCTTGTATCGCGTTACGACACCGAATAGGCTGGACATGCAGATGGAACGGACCATCACAGCTGAAAGGCTGCGTTCGAGACTACTCTACCTCGCTCTAGATCCTGAGATACGAAAAAGACCTAGCTGTAAAAGGAATAAAGGGATTTTTCACATATATTGTGAGATATGTGGCTTGCGTGAACTACCGTATTTGGTCCATTACACAAAGATAAAAGGCACATCAATCGCCCTTCTCCACAAAATCAGACAACTTCGAGTTTTCTAGAATAGGTGTAATTTTAGTCAAATATATATAAACCCCTCGCGAGAAATCGATTACAATCACCTTTAAAGCGTGCACGCCACGCGCTGTGGAGCTATAGGCTGTTAAAGTGATCACTTTAGACACGTCTTATTTTTCACCGAAAAACACACAGACCAGGTGGATTAGTAATCAAAATGCCACCCGATAGTGATACTATCGACGTACACGTGCCAGGCACCCAGGCGAGAGCAGAAATCGAAGCTCAGATCCAGAATGAGATAGATATGGAAACCACGGAACCAGCGACGCCTACGCAGACTACTATACCTAGCGTAGTTGAAATACCAATCCTCCCACCAAATAAACGGCAGGCAAACTTCTCGCCAGAAATACGCACTAGGAGCAACTTCTCACCATTTAGAGGAGCTACGCTTAGATTCAGTACTCAAAGCAGAACTCCGAAGGCAATATCAGTACAAGAGGCGCTAGAAATAGCGAGAAACCTAGTAGTCCAAGCAGCTAATCTAGCTGAAAATAACCCCTCGCAGCAGACTAGCC